ATGGCGGCTACACAAGGCTTGTCAACTTCATCTACCAAAAACACTGGTTTTCTCCCCCAATGTATCCTCAAGCTCTGAATCAAACTCTCCAAACCAGTGATCACATCCATCACAGAGAGATTCTTAAGGTTAACATTACTGTAGTTCAACCAGTCTGTACATATTTGTTTCAACTTGACATGTTGAGGATCATCAGATTGAAATTCTTTACTATTTATAAGATACTTGTGTTCGAAATAACCCTTCCTCACTTTCAGAGCACAAAAAAATATTGCTTCTGACTCATTTTTAACTCTACAGTCTTTGAAATCGAAAAAAACCACGGGATGCCGCCCGAAATGCTGGCTGACAAATTGTTCTCGTTTAAAGATTAAACATTCTTCATATTTTGTGCCCTCAAACTGTCTAAGAAACACTTTCATGTTCTTTGAGGGATTCGATCGAAGATCTTCCATTGTTGGGTTCTTTGCAACATCTTCCTTTGTCTTTGTATTTTTATCTTCAATGTCGCAGAATAAACGAATCATATTAAGGTTTAGAGTTTTGCCAAATTTTGATGGTGCAAAAATCATGACGTACGTGTCCTTCTTCTCTCCCTGTAGTAACTCCTCTATGAGCATTGTTCTATCTACAAATCCGTCCAACTCGGCAACATCTTCAAACCGCTGAGCATTTATGTTGATGACAGTTAGCTGTAAAAGAGAAGAAGCATTAGAGTTACCAATTAGCACAAGTCATTAGGGAGAAGAGTTGAAAATTTTATGTTGATAGATGAAGTTACCTTGTTGGAAGCTGATACTGGGATTGTTACATCGTCACTCTGAGTGTAATTGTCTTTCTTTGGTGAAACCTGCATGTGAAAACAAACAAAAGTTAATTACTTTGAACTGGAAAATAGTGTAGTGGTACGTAAAAAATTGGAATAAATGTAAACTTACCTTCGACATGTTTGCAACTGAATTTACGTCGTCTGCCAGCTTCTGCCGTTTACAATCTGGTGAAGACATCAAGCTGCAAACAGATTATAGTAGTAAATAAATAAATATTTCAAGTTGATTTGCAACTTGTATTGTCATGGTAACGGCACAAAATTGCAAGTTTGAGAAAGATGACGCATATTAGTAATTAATGTGTAGGACAAAGATAGCTACACATTTGCGCTGCAAATGCCACACTTGATTTTCTTAACTCTCTTTTTCCTTGGTTTAGCAAATAAATCATCATCAAATGAAAATATTTCTGAATTCGCTTCGCGAATATAATAATAAGGAATTTGTCCGAATTCCACAACGAAATTACATATGAAGAAATAGATTATAAACATGGAAAAGGAAATTTATATAAATATAGTATACAAAATGAATAACAGTAAGGCAAAAAAAGCTGGGAAATATTATTTTAAATTAGAAGAGTTGGTAGATAAATAAGAAAATTACCTAAACGAATATAATTTTTAAAGCAATATAAAATTAATTCAAATCCATTAAACCTGTTTGATTTTATAAATAAAAATAACTACTATAAAATTAATTTGAGTACGTGGTTTACAGATCTATGGTTTCCGTTATTTAAAAGAAAAATATAATAATAACAAATACAGATCTATGGTTTCTTAGATTMGTGAATTCAGCCTATCTATTTAATTTAGCGTCCAAACTACAGAGGCGCTGCTGAATACGAGTTCAAAAGGTTGTACATGAGTACGCCATCTATATACCATATATAAATTATTCATCTATGTTTGTATGGCTGTGATAATTACAATTACATATACCTACTTACCCAGTGTCATTTCTATCCAAACATTCCCTAGTGTAAATTTTTGAAAATTCTTGGATGTAAGTTGCTGTAGGTACGTTCTTTTTGGGAAAAGTCGAATAATAAACTATTTTTTTGTTCGACAATGTCACAACTMGTCAAAACGAAACGTCAAGCTAATTTTAAAGGTTTTAAGCGATTTGGAGCCTTTAAGAGGCTCGTCGAACAAAAAAACGTTGTATTCAACTCGTTTGTGTGTAAACGGTCCACGCGTGCCAAAAAAGGCCCAATTTACACACAAACTCGTCAAATAAACTACTATTATAAACTGAATATAGGTATTCTATGCCCTTTTTTTCGATAAATGCGATTATTCACTTATTTCCAAGTATAAAAAATAGCTGCAGCCGAGTCTTGCGTGATTTGGACAACTTTTCTGGATTATGAAACTAGCAAACTAATAAGAATAGAAATAACTTGATTACAGTACGAGTCAGCTTTAAGTAGATATTTCCTGAGATATTAAAAAACCTTTACAAAAACATAAATTCTGAAAATTGCCTAACTTGTACCTCATTTTAGGTTAAGTTCAACAACACATGTTACAATTTGACAATAATATTATGAATATAAGTACAATATTTTATTAATTATTACCATCATGTTTTGGGCGTGAAACGTGAAAGCAACGTTTTTCTTTTACGACACTGGAAAACGATAACACTATACCACGTGGCTGTTCAGTTATTGCATTTACTTTAATTTTCGACACAACCGTTGAAAATGAATGAAAAGCAGACGAATTACATTTTACTTATAACATTTAATAAATATCAAGACATTGACTTACCTGTTAAAAAACGATTGGACAGCTAATAAATCACAATAACAAACGCCTTCTATGCAAACGCCACCGACAAGTAAAAAGGGAAACTGAATTATCGACCGAAACAGCGCCGCGCGCGATCCTGGTCTAGATGGCGCCATCCATATTATCGTTCATGGCCAACTTCATCTGTCTTCCGCTGCGCTCCAGAAGACAGATGAAGTAGGCCATGGTAAAAAAAATTGGGAAGCGCCACCTACATCAGGAAAAATGTAACGCAGTTCTCAGTTGTTTCAGTCGGTAATTTCATTAACAAAAAAAAATAATATCAAAAGAAAATCAAACAGTTATTACTTGAAACTTGATAATTAAATTAAACATTTTTGTGGGATATTGTGACTATAAAAACCCCTCGTTTGTGATTATTTTGTTAAAAAATGTTGAGATAAAATTTAAATCAAGTGGCGCCCTCTAACCAAATTTATAGATTTTTCCAGAAGTAAAAACAAATCAGTTGCGACTTTTAAAATTGTGTAAATACATAAAACTTGAAGTAATAATTATAAATAATAATTAAATGAAAGGTGTTTGTGACTAGAAAGCCTCATCGTTTGTGATTATTATTGTTAAAAAAATTCTAATCAAGTGACTATGATAGTGGCGCCCTCTCGCCGAATTGATGGATTTTTCCAGATATGTCAAAACAAGTGTCATTATTGTGACGTTTCTAAAAATGTGTAAACACTTGAAACTTGAATAAATAGTAGAAATAAGTGTCAGCTCGGTGTTGTGAGTATAAAACCCCCCAGTTTGTGAGTACCGTGCGTGTGAACCGTAAAAAAATGTAAAAAATGTTGACCTAACCTAAAAAAATCAAAATGAAAAATCAATTTCTGTGACGTTTTTGGGACACGTATCCGATAAACAAATCAAAAGTGATAACCATGCGTCATAAATTGTTAATTTTCGTGTTGATTTCCCTGCTTTGTTGCGAGTTTTCCGACGAGAGTTTGCAAGGGCCGAGCAAGAGCAAGAAAGAGGATGAGGAGAAAGTGGATGATTTTGAGGAGACTTCGCCCTTGCGCGTGGTCCCCGCCCCCGATTTGTCCAAAGACCGCGACCGCCGGAAAGGTAAGCTGACCGTCCAAGTGGAAATCCGAGACAGAGGTTACAACTAACCCCCTTGTAGGTGACACGAATCTTAACGATGAAATTTCAGACGCCGTTGACCTTTTCATGCTCGACCAGGCGAAAGTGATCCAGAAAATGGTCCAGGAAATCGGCTTGAAGAACGTCATGATCGAGGAACCGGAGGAACTGCCTTTGGAGGACCTGCCCCCGCCGCCGGAGGCCCCCATGCACGAGCCCACCGCGGAGGAGGCCGAGGCCAAGTCGATTTACGACACCGCTGCGGCGATTTTAAACAAAACCCGGCCTGATAAAAAACACGCCTACCAACTGCTATTGGAGGCGGCGAGAAAGGGGAATCCCGAAGCGAAAGCGTTGGTTGCGTGGGCGAAACTCTTCGGGAATCCCCTAGAGCAGGATTTGGAAACGGCTAAAGAGATTTTCCGGAGTTTGGCTGAAGTTGGTAACCCTGAGGGGCACACAGGACTTGGGTTTTTATACGCGTCGGGGTTGTCAGTCAATGTGAGTCAGGCTAAAGCCCTTGTGCATTACACTTTTGGGGCTATTGGGGGCAACACATGGGCGCAGATGGTCTTGGGGTATAAATACTGGTCGGGGATCACCGTCGCCCCCAGTTGTGAGAAAGCATTGGATTTTTATAGACAAGTGGCCGATAAAGGTAATGTTTTTTTTTTTTTTGAGGGGGGAATTACTGGAATTGTTTTTTTTTTAGTGAGTCAGGGGGTGTCATTTGGGGGCGGAGCCGCCATCCAAAGAATTCGACTTTTGGACGAATTGGAAAATGGGTATTCGTCGGGGATTTTGGATAATGATTTGATTGAGTATTACCAACTGTTGGCGGAAAAAGGGGATATACAGGCGCAAGTGGGGCTCGGACAATTGCACTACCAAGGGGGCCGAGGTGTCGATTTGGATTATCAGAAGGCGATGCATTATTTTACTCAAGCTGCGAATGCCGGAAATGCCATCGCCATGGCCTATTTGGGCAAAGTAATTTAATTTTTGAAATTTTGAAACTAGAGCGCAAAAATTAGGAAAATCGTAAAAATTATTTATTGAAAAAAAACCTTTATTGGAGGAGAATTTAACAATTTTCTTGAATTTTTGTGACAATTTTTAAAATGGCCCAAAAAATCCGTCAAGTTGGATTATTTTCTTTCTATGCGTAAAATCGTATTAAAAAGT